ATCACCCGCATTCTTTCCACCCAAGAAAACAAATATAAACTTCACGGTCCCCTCTGCTTTAAACCACTCACCCCCCCAAACTCCTGTCCCAAACCGCCAAACAAAAAAATTAAAAAAAAAAAGACTCTCATCAATCAACCATCATCACTTGAAGACAGACACCAGCGACCGCCTGGTCCCATCGGCGCCCGCGCGACCCTAGGCCCCACCTCGCCCGCCGCCTCGTCCAGGTCGGCGTCACCGACGTCTTCTCCGTCCCGGCGACTTCAACCTCACCCTCCTCGACCACCTCTCGCCGACCCCGGCCTCCGCCTCGTCGGATGCCGCCACGAGCTCAACGCCGGCTACGCCGCCGACGGCTACGCACGCGCTCGCGGCGTCGGCGCGCTGCGCCGTCACCTTCACCGTCGGCGGTCTCAGCGTCATCAACGCCATCGCCGGCCTACAGCGAGAACCTCCCCATCATCTGCATCGGCGCGGGCTCCAACTCAACGGATACGGAACGAATCGGATCCTTCATCACACTACCGGGCTCCCTGATTTCACGCAGGAGCTACGGTGTTTCCAGACCGTCACTTGTTTTCAGGTTAGGAGGTTTTAACTGGGATTGATCGTAGTCAATTTTGGGCTTAATTGTGGTCCTGTGGTTTTGTTAGGCGGTGGTGAATAATTTGGAGGATGCGCACGAGATGATCGACACGGCGATATCGACGGCGTTGAAGGAGAGCAAGCCGGTGTATATTAGCATCAGCTGTAACTTGCCGGCGGTCCCGCACCCGACGTTTAGGAAGGAGCCCGTGCCTTTCTTTCTTTCGCCCAAGTAAGGTTCTTTCGAGTACCGTTAAATTGAAGAGGAGTAGTTAGTTTGTTTTGATAGTCTGGCATTTGTCTGGGTTTTTCGGAGAGCTCGGGCGTAAGTTGTTTCATATATGTTTGCTTATGCTATGCTATGTTGGAGGCTTACCCTTATTGCTCCCCTTGGTATAAACTGGTTATTCGATCGGTCATTTTGCTGTTCTTTTGTATCTTCCATTACAGTCTAATATATACATCCGTAACTTAAATATATATAAATGTAGAAGAAATGTGTATGTATAGCTGTAACTTCATGTTTGAGTTGTTATCCGATGTCTCCGTATCAGGGTTTTAAAGCTTTGTCTGCACACTGGTTTGAGCATGACATTCATGAATGGCATTCTCTTTTGCTGCCCTTGCCTGACTCGGATAAAGTACACAGTGGATAGGTGGATTGCTGATTTAATACCTGAAGTACCGTAGTGCATCTCTGGCTGTAGGTTATTGCAAGTTAGATAACTGAAGATCAATAGATCACTTGTGTGGGAATATTTGAAATTAACAAGAGGAAAGGGAACTTAACAGTGAGAGAGATTGGCCATGAAGTTTGAATACCGCTTTAAGTTCCTGAAGAAGATTGGTGATGTCCATGCTTATTAACCACCATTGTCAAAAAATAAGAGAAGTACCTCTAGTGAAGTTTGTGCTATAGGTGTTAGGTGTTTGTCGCTAGTTGCAGAAACTACAACTAGTGTGCTTATGACGACTTCTCTTTCCGTTTGGTTAAGCTCAATTTAGTGGATGTGGCTTATAGTAGATAGAAGTTTCGTCGTCAAAAAATAAGAGAAGTACCTCTAGTGAAGTTTGTGCTATAGATGTTAGGTGTTTGTCACTAGTTGCAGAAACTATAGTTAGTGTGCTTATGATGACTTCTCTTTTCGTTTGGTTAAGCTCAATTTAGTGGATGTGGCTTACTGGCTTATAGTAGATAGAAGTTTCCGTCGTCACTATGAACAGTGTTATTTATCTTGGAAGGAACATTTCGTTTGCTGCAGGGTGAGCAATCAAATGGGGCTAGAAGCTGCAGTTGAGGCAGCTGCAGAGTTTCTGAACAAGGCTGTGAAGCCGGTGCTAGTTGGAGGCCCAAAACTAAGGGTAGCTAAAGCTCAACAAGCCTTTGTAGACTTGGCAGATGCAAGTGGATACCCATTAGCCATCATGCCATCGGGAAAAGGGCTTGTTCCAGAGAACCATCCTCACTTCATTGGAACCTTTTGGGGCGCAGTTAGTACCAGTTTCTGTGGTGAGATTGTGGAGTCAGCTGATGCTTATTTGTTTGCGGGTCCGATCTTTAATGATTATAGCTCAGTGGGTTACTCTCTGCTTATCAAGAAGGAGAAATTAGTGCTCGTTGAGCCTAATCGGGTTACTATTGGTAACGGACCTTCTTTTGGCTGGGTTTTCATGAGCGATTTTCTGACTGCACTTTCTCAGAAGCTTAAAAAGAACACTACAGCTTTAGAGAATTATCGCAGAATTTTTGTTCCACCAAGTATTCCTCTCAAGCGTGAGAGCGGTGAACCTTTAAGGGTTAATATTCTCTTCAAGCACATTCAGGTAAGCTTCTTGTGGTTTTTTTTTTTTTTTTTTTTTTTTTTTGCCCACTGTTTACTGAAAATTAATTGGGTACTTTATTGATCCGTGAATTTACCCACACTGCTTTCCAAAGAACTCGGATATGACTAAATTTGGAACTGAGATTCAGGGGTATTCTGTTGTCAAGTCTTACAGATAAGAGTGCCTATGTAATTGCAAAATAGTCTTTCAAAACTCGAAAGTAATAAGAAAATTGGGGAATGTGCATTCAGTTCTATATGTTGTTTGTTCTATTAATTGATTTTGGCATCTAAACATTGGACAGCGTCTTTTGAGTGGTGACATGGCAGTAATTGCAGAGACTGGTGACTCATGGTTCAATTGCCAAAAGCTTCGTTTACCAGAGAACTGCGGGTAAGTTCTTTGATATTTGATCCGTGTCCACCTTGATTTTTGCTGCCATTGGATTTCTGACTTAACAGTATGTTCATATACAGATACGAGTTCCAAATGCAATATGGGTCCATTGGATGGTCTGTAGGTGCAACTCTTGGATATGCCCAAGGTGCCAAGGATAAACGTGTTGTTTCTTTTATCGGCGACGGAAGTTTCCAGGTGATATAAACAAGTACCACTATTTGCCTGCATGATGATATGAAAAATTACCTGTGTTTGCCTGTTTCCATGTAGAAGAACAGACTTTGACATTTATTAGTTCTCGGTTTGGTATAAGTAACATCCTAACTTATTACAAGGAAACAGTAGGAAAAAGAGAGTTACATTATTTCTTGTGTTTGGAAATCGGAACTAAAAGTTAAAATAGAGAACTAGTATGATAATATTATGCTACATTCTATTTCTTTTTCTCTCTCCTCTGTCCTATCCTATTCTCTTTCCTATCCTAAGTACAAAAAAGATAGTTGGGTACCAAAGGCATGCACAAATAGAGACATATTCATATTTGTAGTCAAACCTAAATATGCCATAAGTTTGTGACTTCAATGCGTCCACCTTACTATAAATTTTCCCCTTTCTAGGTGACCGCACAGGATGTTTCAACTATGATCAGATGTAGACAGCGAAATGTTATATTTCTCATTAACAATGGTGGATACACCATCGAAGTAGAGATCCACGATGGCCCTTACAACGTGATAAAAAACTGGAACTATACTGCTCTAGTAGAAGCCATTAACAATGGCCAAGGTGCATGTTGGACTTCTAAGGTGAGGATAGCAAGCCCTGTATTATCACATTTCCTTTCATATATATAGAATTTAGCCTGATGGAACAAAATTTTGTACAAATTGTTCAAGGTTCGTACTGAGGAGGAATTAGAAGAAGCACTAGAGAAGGCTTTGGGCGAACACAAGGATAGGCTCTGCTTCATCGAGGTTATTGTGCACAAGGACGACACAAGCAAAGAGCTGCTCGAGTGGGGATCCAGAGTCTCAGCAGCAAACAGCCGGCCACCAAATCCTCAGTAGAATTTAATGGAATAAGTGGCCCTCATCGGTTGTCGCGTCTGAATAAAATGAACTTGAACCGAACGGCAATGTTGTTGTGGCATAAAGGAGAAAATATTAGTTCAGTAAGGAGATTCTTTTTATTCCGTATGTGAGTACAATGAGAACGCGACGTGCCATGTCGCGGTAAGTGTATATCGAAAATTTACTCTTTGATGCTTAGGTGTTGGATGTTGCGGTGATAGTTGTGTATTGCTCTAGGATTGGCTTCGGCAAACGAATTTGTTCCGCAGCAATGCTTTGGAAAAAGTAACGAGCAAGACTTTTTGTGTAAAAGTGGGCTATAGTGGGACTGCAGAAGTGCCATTTCCATAGGAATTAGATTCTATCCTCCAAATCTATTTCAGCGGTGAAATCTCGGAACTATATGCTTAAACGTAAAGTCTGCTAACGTTGGCTTCTATTTATTTATTTATGGTTATTTTCAGGTAAAATTTAGTTAATATTGTGTGTTTCCTACAATTGTTCAATATGTAATCAAAGAGAGCAATCAAAAGCTTTTCTTACAATAGCTTGATATGTTTTGTCAACAATTTTCTATACTTTTTAGCACAGGAGAGTGATAGCTGCACTACTTAATCCAAGTTATTTTCACACTATAAGAGAGTGTTTGACAACTTTGTAAAATTAGGCTAAGACTGAACCTAACCCAATTTTGTGTTGTTTCTTATTTGTCAAAATGCTGGGTTAGAACTTGCCCCATTTTTTGTGCCCAAAAAAGTGTCACTAAACTAGTTTTGTTTTGGATCAGGGGATCTGGTCCAAAACAAAACTAGTTTAGCACAAAACCGAGTCATAACTAGTTCTGACCCCAGCTTTGCTCTATTTGCCAAACTTGACTCTTAAGAGAAAAATCTAGCGTCTAACAAAATTGATACTCATCATGAGAGCCAATGTTTTTCTTAAGCGTCTCCTGTAGCATGAGTCTAAGTTTAGAAAAGTATAATACAATTAGTATTATTCTTTAAGAAAACCTTATGCTCTTTAAAAACCAAGGAGAAAAAAACTCTGATCCACCCTTGAGCGCTTCATGTTCAGTGCTCAATACTTTCAGATCTTGGAAGACTCAAGTTATAGTTCTACTAGTATGTACCCCGTGCCAAGCACGGCCCTCTCCTCTTTTATACCATTGCACTTGGAACACCCCTCCTCTTAATTTTAATTACATATTATTATTACACAATTAAAATTATAAAGCATATTAAACTTTATGTATAAACAAATTTCTCATATGACACGTACATGAAGTTGCTATAAATTATTCCATTATTCTAATAGGCACCCATGTCTATTGTGACGTATTGCCTAGTTTAAATAAAAGTTGTTATGATATTATTATTGCAAGAGTAATAAGAAACCATGGGTATCTAAATATTCGATTTATTCTAATTTCAACTTCTACTTGGAAAACAACATAAACCTGATTTGAGAAGGATGCGGCTAGATTGATGAGAAAACCATGAAGCCTAAAAACCAAAACCTGGCCAAGAAAAAATGAATAGCATTCGTATCATAATTAAATTAGCATATAAATTATGACAAAAGAATATAAAATTATGGCATATATATCAGTTTATAAATTCCTGATACAAATGCCTTCAAAAAACAACCAATTTTGAAAGAGGAAACACCTTTGAAAAATAAAAAAAAAGTATTATTTGAGGGTTCAACTATAAGTAGTAAATTGAGAAAATTCATGAGATAAGGGATAGAGCATTATGTCGCATTTACATGTAATTAAGTCACAATTCCTTAATGTTGTTTGATCTCAATTTCATTTTTATACAATCTGATTCCTACAGCTAGCAACTATGAAGAACTTCAAATGAGTTGCATTTGGAAAATAGATGCCTAATAATATTGTATTGTACAAATATAACAATACTACAACAACTGACACATAATGGCCTAATAAAACAATATAGCAACAAAACTCCACATTCAATATAACATATTTTCATGACTCTGTCACTTGAGTGACAACCAATCATAAATTTTTACGAAGGAGCTATCTCTTGATGCATATTTTACTTCATCATACAAAATAATACAAACTAACCTCTTAACTATATTGTGCCTCAATGACAAACATTATAATATCGTATAGAATATGATAATTGATCTGACCTTCTTCGAGATCTTCTTAATGATCTTCTCTATCACCTGAAAATCATAGAAGTTCCCCATCACTGATTCAAAGAGAAAAATTATAGAATATGATAATTGATGTGACCAAAAAATATTATCAAAGTAGTATGTCAAAGATATTTTATATGCATATCGAAGTAGTATGTCGGATGGAGGCACTGCAAATTATGGCTCAAACATGTCGCAGATTTTGGCATCAGTTTGCCATTCTAGAAAGCTATCACTAAGTGAGTGGTGTATTGAGGTGCCCCCCCCCCCCTTTCAAAAACCCCACCCACCCCAAAACCTCTTTTGACTGATGAAACATTCTTTCCTATGATTCACTTGATTTACTTCATCTGGACAGTTTTAGGGAACCAATTCATAACAGCATAGCGATTTTGGTTTGTCGTCCCAATACTTGATTTAATTGTCTCGACATGACCCGACATGTCGAGGTTGAGCTATTTTATAATTTTAAATAGCAAATGCATGATAACTTAAACATGTGCTTAACCTAACTTTCTCTTCCTGCAACGTAGCTGATTATGAATTCATATATGAGTTAAACAAAATGAAAGTGAAACCCATGTCTCATAATCCAGGCTTCATGTTTTATTCTTGTCAAAATTATTTCCATATTTTTAACGTTGCATTCTTTTTCTTTCACAAAGTACTGTAAAACCCCGAAAATTTATAATGATATTGTGTGAATAAATAGTAATAAATCTTTCTTTTGTGATAAATAACTATATATATATAAGATGTATATATTTATCAGTGTTTGGGAACCCAACAGGTGTATATAAGTGAGAGAAATCGAGTGTTAAGGCCAACATGTAAAATGCCTAGCAGCAGGCATTTTACCGCTGCGCGGTCGACCATGGCGGTCGACCGAACAGCGATCAGAGGGTTTTCTCAGGTTCGGGTTCAAACGGGTTTCGGGTCGGGTTTGTGAGTTGGTATATATGCTAATATATCCGAGAGAGCCCCTTTTGAGTTCTGAAATCAAAACCCTAGCCCCCCTCTCTTCCCTAAAACCCTAATCCTCTTTGTTGGTGATTTGGGGAGAAGTTCTAGAGGATTTGCAGCAGCTCTTGGTGGGATCCAGCGAAGGAAAGCGTTCTCCTTCAGTTTCAGCGATCCGTTACTCACCAGAGGCGAGTATCATCTCGCCCAATCCCCCACCCCTATTTTCTATGGTTTTATTTCGATTTTTTTTCATGAGTTTTTGATGAGCCCAAAATGTATTTTCGTATAAAAATGAGTTCTTTACAACATGGATTGCAAGAATCAATATTTTCAGTTTGTAAAGGTTCACCAATGTTTTGTCTAATGAAGATCTAGATCTGAGATTTCTTAAACAAGAGTTTAATCATGTTTTACTGTCATTAAAACGTTCTAATTTGCTTCTCATGTATTTTGAAATATTAGGAATGTGGATTTCATGCTTGAGATTAGTTGTTTTTCTTCTAGAGACATTAGAACACTTATTATCATAGAAATTTTCAAAATTTTGTTTCAGGTTTTGCGTTGACAGGGTTTCTGTCCGCTTGGCGGTCGACCGGAGCGGTCGACCGCTGAGCTCGTTTTAGGGCTGCGGATCGGCGGTCGACCGACCCGGTCGACCGCGACGTTCTGTCGGTCGACCGCGGTGCCCTGGCGGTCGACCGAAATGCCCCTCGTGTCAGAGCGCGGTCGACCGTGTTTTGGCCAAAAGTTAGTTTTGTCATGGAATTCATTATATCTTCGGTCGATTACAATAAATTCAAAAGGAGATAGCCTTTTTATAAGACTTCCTTTACACAACAAAATAAAAGTTACAACTCTTGAGAAACAAACGCAGGAACGTTGTTTGGATCACTGCTTGCGTGGGATCTTTGCCTGTGCCGGGGGTGCGTTAGCCCGTGGACCACCAAATCACAGATTCTGATTAAATCGTGAGGGGTTTATGATTCTGACTTCGTTTATCGAAGTGAGAACTTGAAACGATATCTTATCAAGGTAAGATAGTCGTTCTTCTTGAAATCAAGTCAAAGCCTGAATATCAAGGAGTTGCCAGAAACTCAAGAACTCTGCTCTTTCTCTGCTCTGAAGTGCTCAAAATGATCAGCCCCTCTCAAAAATGGCCTTCGGGGGGTATTTATAGCCCCTATGAACAGTTGGCGGAAAACAGGCTCGCGAGACAGCATTTGCTGTCTCGGCGCCTTCCCACGTTTTAAAACTCCGTTATTTTGGCAGTTGTCAACGTGATTCTCGCCCACAACGTTCCCCATGTTCTTTGACAGTTAATGGACGTGTGTGGCAGTTGTTCAAGGTGGTTTCTGACCATTTCAAAACTGTCTCCAGGATGAACAGTATTTCCGAGACAGTAAAGACTGTCTCTCCCCGCGAGACAGTAAATACTGTCTCGTGAACAGTAATTCCAGACAGTAAAGACTGTCTCGTGAACAGTAATTCCAGACAGTAAAGACTGTCTCGTGAACAGTAATTCCAGACAGTAAAGACTGTCTCGTGAATAGTAATTCCAGACAGTAAAGACTGTCTCGTGAACAGTAATTCCAGACAGTAAAGACCGTCTCTCCCCGCGAGACAGTAAATACTGTCTCGTGAACAGTAATTCCAGACAGTAAAGACTGTCTCGTGTTCCCCTGCGAGACAGTAAAGACTGTCTCGCCTGCGAGACAGTCTATACTTGTGTTCTTTTTTGACATTTTGGATGACTTCTTTTTGAACTGTGTTTGGATACCTTTGAGCATTTTTTAACGCCTACAGATACCCCCTCCAAAGTATTCCAGACTCAATCTTTTATAGAGGAGTTCTGGGATGCTTTGGATAAGATAGGTCTTACTTATGATCCTTTCCATGCTTGGTTGGGTAGATCGTATAGAAGAACCTGTAGCTGGCTTCAACACTTGATCTCTTTGTCTCTCAGTCTATTCAGTGCTTTGTAGAATAG